TCACTTCCCTGGTCCATTTATATATTAACTATTCCCTGTCTAAAGTAATTAAAACAGATTTGTCTGGTCACCTTCCCTCTTGTGTTATTGAGTCTGTGTTCCATGGCTTTTGTTTTTTTTTGGATGAGGATATACATGTTTAGGAACCAGTGCATCTGAATCCTTCATTTCTCCCACAAAATATACAGTCAATTTACTTTACAGTATATTCTGTGAAGAACTTTGAGACGTCTCGAAGACATGATATCAAATGCAAGGATTATTATCATCATTTTCTGGAACACTTCAATAAGATGGTCCCTGAGCCTTCCCTTCTCTAGCTTCCATGACCTCTTCTCCTAATGTAGATGTCTACTCCCTGATTTTAATTATTAATTCAAAATAATAATACTTGCATTCGATGTAGTGCTTTTCAGGTCTTCTATAATAATAATCCTTGCATTTGATATAGCGCTTTTCTCGTATGTTTTGTGCGACAGCCAGTTTTCCCTCCAACTAGCTCAGTGGTTAGAGCACTCGGCTTTCAAGCGAGAGACCTGCGTTAGTTCCCCGGCAGGGTGAAACCTTGGGCAAGTTGAAACCAAACTCTCTCTCTGTGCCCTCTTCAGCCTGACATTAAAAATCCAACAACGCTATTGGAAAAGAGCTTTTCCCAGTCCTGGCTGATAACCCTGTACCCCCCAACCGATAAAATTACCCATTCACTTTGTAGCTATTTGGGGGATGTCACTGTGTGCAAATTGGCTGCTGTGTTTCACCTACAATATACAGTCATTTACACTTGACAGCAATCAATTTGTGAAGCGCTTTGGGACTCACCTGCTGACTGCCACACAACCAGTAGAGGGGCACTAGAGGAATCAGGAGCAGGACGCCAGGCTGGTTTTACCCCCCCTGACCTGGGAAGATCAGCTCCCACCAAGCAGCGGAGCCTGAGATCAGCAAAGGCACAGACCAGCATTCGAGCTGGCAAGATAATAATCCTTGCATTTGATATAGCGCTTTTCACGACTTCTCGACGTCCCAAAGCGCTTCACAGAACACACTGTAAAGTGAATTGACTGTATATTTACGGGCGAACGCGGCAGCCAATTGCGCACAGCAATGTCCCACAAACAGTCGTAGGTTGAAAATGACCAATTTTTATTATTGTTTTTGGTTTTGGAGGGATTATTATTAGGCTCTGTGTGGAGGAAAGAAACTTGCCCAAGGTTTCGCCCTCTGCCTGGAATTGAACTCAGGTCTCTCACTTGCAAAGCGTGTGCTCTAACCACTGAGCTACAGGACTCCACATCTAGACGTTCCAGATGTTTCAAAGCACTTCACAGAATATACTGTGAAGTGAATTGACTGCGAATCTGTGGGTGAAACTTAAAAATGATAGTATTAGACATGCATTACAAAAATGAACTGCCCTGGATACCCATGGGATCAAATGTTCACACAACAGAACCAATCATAAATGGCTTACAACACTATCCTTAGAAACTTGTTGAAAGATATCAATATTGTTCATTATTCAAAAATTGCGGCTTTTCTTTACAATTATATTTTCTTACCAAAGCAAATCCATTATTATCACTTCAAGATGTATCACAGAAAATAAAGGAATAGTGCCAAATTATCTCTTAAACTGAACTGACGGAAAATTGACTATCGTGGATGCATTGAATTATAAGAGTATAATATTTGCAGGGAATAATAATCCTTGCATTCGATATAGCGCTTTTCACATCTTCTCGACATCTCAAAGCGCTTCACAGAATAGACTGTAAAGTGAATTGACCATATATATTTTGTGGGCGAAACGCAGCAGCCAATTGTGCACAGCAATGTCCCACAAACAGTAGTGGATTGAAAATGACCAATTTATTATTGTTTTGTTTTGGAGGGATTAATATTAGGCTCTTTGTGGAGTAAGGAAACTTGCCCAAGTTTTGAAAAAGAATGAAAAAAAAGAAATTCCTCTGTGAAATGCAATGAAATGCTAGTCAATATCACTGAAGTAACTTTTCTCTTGTGGGTATGAATTACTCTTAATTTCTCCCCAGTCACTTATGTCGAACCCCTCCACTCACAGCACAGAGACAGCCAGACACAGGGTAAACCTCCACATGTACGGGGGCACACAAATCGACTTCTCTTCAAGCTGCGACTCCCAGTCCGCCGATGTTGTCAGCTTGTCTGACAGACATCAATAATAATAATAATCCTTGCATTTGATATAGCGCTTTTCACGTCGGGAGGACGTCCCAAAGCGCTTCACAGAACATACTGCAAAGTGAATTGACTGTATATTTGTGGGCGAACGCGGCGGCCAATTGCGCACAGCAATGTCCCACAAACAGTCGTAGATTGAAAATGACCAATTTATTATTGTTTTTTGTTTTTGGAGGGATTATTATTAGGCTCTGTGTGGAGTAAGGAAACTTGCCCAAGGTTTCGCCCTGACCTGCCTGGAATTGAACTCAGGTCTCTCACTTGCAAAGCGAGTGCTCTAACCACTGAGCTACAGGACTCCATCTATATCAAGGCCTGGATGAGTGCAAACTTCCTGCAGCTGAACGTTGACAAGACTGAATTCATACTCCTCCCATCAACATCTTCTCTCTTGCGGTTCAGACTTCCTCACCCAACCCGATCGATCCTCAGGTATTCTGCGTACCCCACATTTGGTCCCTGGCCAGGTCCGCTTTCCTCCACCTCCACCTCATTGCCCTGACCAAGACACCTCCTCCCTTCCCTGGCCAGGACACCTTCCCCCTCTCCTTGGCTCAGCATCCAGCTCCACCACTGTTAAGTACTCCGAGACACTGTCCGGCTTGAAGCGTGCTATATAAATGCAAGTTGTTGTTGTTATGTCTCCATAGATTACATATCAGCTCAAAGGCCTCCTGCTTTGAGCTAACAGCTATATAGGAAAACCATGGCTCAAGGATTAATCTTCCAATTTGCTACTCGACATTTTTCCAATACCAATACAATTTAGCTGATCTTGGAACTCTCCACAACCACTGTTACAGCACACTGATGTGATGCATCCCACTCCAGGGAAATGTGAGTTGGTGCATAAACACATTAGTCCACTAGCCAATGATAAAGGACGGTTTTGAGTAAAGAACAATGATGTTGAAATGACTTACAAATTATCAATAAACCATTAATGGAATAATATCCCATCTGTGATAATCCCAAAACATAAGAAATCGAAGGAACTAAAGGAAGAGTGAGAAAACAAAGGAAGCAACTTTAAGTGACAATTTAAAAGTTGTGCTGATAATTTTAATGGGGCAAAAGTTCCAATTAAGAATGAAGGTGAGAGGAAAAACACAGGGGATGGGTAGAACATGAAATTAAATTAATCTGAAAGTCAGGAAAGAGCAACAGCAAAATAATTTGTATTTGCACTTTTTTATCCTCTTAAAAAATTGGTCACTCACTTCACATCCATTTGACTGGGTATTTGCTCTACGCAATTAGGCAGCAGCTTTCACTTGTGAAATACACCCATCACTACACAGGACGGAAAAAAAGCTCCGAGAAGCAATTTAGGATGTTCCAACAGAGCAGGTGCTGCACTGCATCCAAGGATTAGTAAGGGGGTTTAAAAGAAATGCCATGATTTTAAGTTAAAATAACAGGAAAGATGAGTGCGAAAAACAAAATTAAGACACACACCTATATATAATCCTTGCATTTGATATTATTATGTGATTGAGACGTCTCAAAGAGCTCCATAGGACACTATAAAGTGGATTGACCGTATATCTTGTGTGCGAAATTAAATAAAATGCAAAAATTATTATACTTAAAAGAGTTTGTTTTTTTCCCTCCAAGGTGCAAATGGTGTGGTCGCGGCGGGTAAGGAGAGAGGAACAACACGGACTTTTAAAAACGCGGTGGACGGGTATTTGAGGAGGACGGGTTTGCGGGTTATGGGGAAAGGGCCGGGGAGTGGGACTGACATTAATTGCTCTGTTCAAAGAGTGGCACAGACTCGATGGGCTGTACAATTCTATGAACAAAAGGAACAGCAGAAGCACTAGACATTTCACAGGTAAAGGCAGCTGTCCATTTGAGTGCAGTAAATACGTTCGCCTCCAAAACACAGTCACTAGCCGTCGGCAGTGAAATCCTGTAAACGAGACATCTTCCTGATGCAAAAGGATCAAATGCAACAGGTTTATTATTCTTTTTTTTAAAAATACAATTAAAATAACACCAAATACTTGCATTTCCCCCCAAAACAAATTGTAAAGAAAAACAAACCTCCTGCTTCTCTCATGAAAGAAAACATAACTGAAATAAAAGTGGAGTCCTGTAGCTCAGTGATTAGAGCACTCGATTTGCAAGTGAGAGACCCGAGTTCAATCCCCAGGGGGTCAGGCAGGGCCAAACCTCGGGCAAGTTTCCTTACTCCACACAGAGCCTAATAATAATCCTCCAAAACAAAACAAAAAATAAATTGGTCATTTTCAATCTACGACTGTTTGTGGGACATTGCTGTGCGCATTTGGCCGCTGCGTTCGCCCACAAATATACAGTCAATTCACTTTACAGTGTGTTCTGTGAAGCGCTTTGGGACGTCGAGAAGTCGTGAAAAGCGCTATATCAAATGCAAGGATTAAGTGTTTTTTTTCCCCTTCTGGAAAGAAAGGAAAAAAGAGGGGGACACCAAAAAAAGTAAAAACAAACTTTTTTTTGGAGTGGGGGAAGATGTTGGGGCTGAGAGAAAAAAGTTACATCAATTTTTTTAAAAAATAATAAATAGTGAAACAAACATTTTAGGGTTTGTTTTGGCGGAGAGACAACAAAGTGAAATCGATGTCATTTTCTTTTTTTAAAAATAACGTGGTAGCAAACGACCTCTCCCGCCCCCAAAATGACATTTATGAGGGGATTTTATTTTAAAAAGGTAATTTTTTTACCACTTTTTTTTCTTAAAAAAAGTGTTGGTTTATGTGCAGTGTTGGTGCCTTTCCCCCGTGTGTCCGCCTCACCTGCCGACCGCCTCGGCCGCCGCTGCCTCTGGGCCTCGAGCTCCAACTCGACGCCGCTCGCTTCGCCGCACCACACCTTCCCGCCCGCCACCCGCGCCCGTTACGCTCCGCGTGCCGAAAGAGTTCTCCCTTTGCAGCCCACCTCCCCGACGCTCGGAGCGCGCTGCTCCCTCGCTCCGGGTGAACGGAAGGCCAAGTCAGGTTCGAACAGCTCTCGGGTCTTCCCTTCCAATTTTCTTTCAGTTTCTCCCACGCACCGTTTTCGCGCGCTGTGTGGGGGGCAACGGGTCCCGGAGCCGCTTCTAATTTAAATCGAGTAGATGGCATATTAATCCGCGCCCTCGAGCCGGGGGTCGTGCAATTCAATGGGGGGGAGGGGGGATAAACATAAAGAGAGCGCATCTGCTCTTTCTAGTTCGAGGCAAAATCTAATAAGAGGACGAACTGAACTCTGTTAGAAGTTAACAATTATCTCAGAAAGTTAAACGAGTGGAGTTTGTTGGGGGTAAACATGTATTTCCCCCCCCCGCCCCCCCCGGCGGTAGAGTGGCCCATTCCCGGTCGCTGCAGTCCGCTCACGGTGATGACTAACGGCCGAGACACGTGGGCGCCATGCGGGGGGGCGGCGCCATGCGGGGGGGGGGCGGCGCCATGCGGGGGGGGCGGCGCCATGCGGGGGGGGCGGCGCCATGCGGGGGGGGGGCGGCGCCATGCGGGGGCGGCGCCATGCGGGGGGGGCGGCGCCATGCGGGGGGGGGCGGCGCCATGCGGGGGGGGGGGGGGGGGGGCGGCACCATGCGGGGGGGGGGGGGCGGCGCCATGCGGGGGGGCGGCGCCGGTGTCGGCGCCATTTTCTCGCCGTCGACGCCTCGGCTCTTGCTGCACCGTCTCCTCACGCTACTCCTCCCCATCGCTCAGCAGCCGCGCTTTCAAAGCAGCCCCCACCTCCTGAACCTGTGGCACATCCCGTCTGTAACCCCCCCTCCGCCTCTACCCCTCTTGCCGCGCCCCCCATCCTCAGAGCTCACCCCAAGACCTTCTTCTCCGGCCACGGCTTTGGTCACCGCCATCGCCTCTCTCCCCGCGCGCTATCTCCTTAGGCTACGAAGCCACGCCGCTGTAAAGCGCTCCAGGACGCTATGCTGCATTGTATGAATTTCAAGTTGTCACTGTTGTTGTTGTTGCCCCTCCCCCTCTCCCTATGGCTTTTTGTAGCTGTCCAACTCAGTCTGGAGGGGGGACGGACTTCCTGGAGCGGACCTGACCCCAAGGTGACATGTCTGGCAACAAAACTGGTGCTAATCTTGAAAACTGTTTGATAGGTCATTGCTGTCAGACTCAGTGACTATCTGCAGGTGATGCGCAGCCAATTTACATACACCCATGAAGTGAATGACCCACTTATGGTGAACATCACAGGCAGGACACCAGGAGAAACTCCCTTCTTTCTTACAATACAGTCTCAGAATCGAACATCCATCTGAACAGTTAAGTTAAGCATAAATAAGTAAAATTCCCATTTTAAAATTATATATAAGGGGAACTCTGAGGCATCTTTTCAAGTTGAACAACTCAATCTTTTCCTAATCATAGCTCATTTCTCCAGCATTAGGAACATTTTCATGGCTCCTCTGCACTACCTCTATCGAGCGCCTACCAAGCTCCGTTATGTGGTGGTGATCGGGACACAGCATTCCAGGTGTGGCCAGAACAAGGTGCAACTTGAAAATGGCTTCTGGAGATCTGAATTCAACTGATTTGCCCACAGAGTCCAGCATCATTCATCAACCTAGCTGAAAAGGCATTAATGGAGGTGAAACAACAGAGTCCCAGTTTGACCTATGCAGTATGGAAGGGACTTAAATAATGGAGCAGTAAGTCATGAAGTATATTTTCTTTATGGGTATTACTATAACATACTACACGCATGGAGGTATCAGTTTACTCAGTTTGTAATACTTTTGCCTCTGGGTTAGAGGGTTACAGGCTCAATGCCTATGTTGGAGATGTATAAAAAGCTTAATAATACTTGTATTTAATATAGCACCTTTCATGTTAAGAGGACATGTCAAAGCATGCACCAGAAACCAGGAGAAAACTCATTTCCCATTTCGAATAGAGCTATGGGATCTTGTCAAAGTGTCATTTGTCAAAGTGACAAATGACATTTTGTCCATCTGCGACCAAGGCTCCCTCTGCTTCCTCGTCCTCTTTGACCTCTCTGCTGCCTTTGTACCGTTGACCACTCTATCCTCCTCCACTGCCTCTCCTCTCACCTTGAATGGTTCAGATCCTACCTCTCACACCTTTTCCATTTCATCTCCACAAATGGCTTCATGACACCCTCACCCTCATCCACATCCTCGCTCGACTCCACTGGCTTCCCATCACACGGAAGTTTAAGACCCTGGTCCTCACTTTCAAAGTTTTCCATGGCCTTGCTCCATCCTACCTCTACGACCTCTAATCCCCTACCAACCTCCCCCTCCCCTCCGCTCAGCGGGCTCTGGCCTGTTTCACATCCCTCGTCTTGCCCACCCCACCATTGGCAGGAGGGCCTTCAGCCTCTCTGCCCCCACCCTCTGGAACTCCATCCCGCAGTCCTTCTGCCTCGCTCCTTCTCTTGCCTCCTTCAAGAGATCCTCCTCTTTGAGCGTGCCTTCGATTACCCTCCTTTCCCCCTGCCTCCACCGATCCCGACCCCCAGTTCAGGTCCGAAACACTGATTTTCCAGTTCCTTGGGACATACTCCCAACATGAAAGGCGCTATACAAATGTAATTTTGTTGTTATTTAATATCTTCCTAAGCAAGCAGTGGGACTTCACATCCGAAGGGTGGCATCTCCAACAATGCAGTATTTCCCATCACTGCCTTGGAGCGTCAGCTTACTATGTGTTTTTGAAGTCTTGACGTGGGGCTTGAACCTAGAGCCTTCTGACTCGGAGGCAAGAGCACAACTGAGCCAGTCTGGCACTACTTATTTCAGCCAAGTCATCAGATGATTTGCCACAAACATTTCACATATATATCCTAACGTAAGGGCAAAGGGCATTATTGTGTGGGGAGCAACGTTTCTGGCCTCCTACTTGGTACGAGAACACAACATGTTATCAACCCATGTGATTTCACGAAAAACACGAAGATTTTGAGCCAGGTCGGCTCATTTAAATGAGTGTAAATCTTCCTTAGAAAGGTTTAGAAAGAGCTGCCACAACTTTGATGCGTTGTTACCTATGGTTCAATAAATCATTCTTAATGGCACCTGCATGAAGTGTAGCAAATGCTAGATCTTGCTAACACTTTTAACACATCAAAGTCTGTCTGGGGCTATAGCTACAAAAAAAGTATAAGGCATTGTCAGCAATTCACACAAGAGTCTGGAGAATAAAGTGTAAAAGCATGTACTATTTAATTTTTCTTTGATGAGCACACTCTAAATTTTTTGGGGGCATTAGAGAAAGACACCCTGTGCAAGTTCAGACTCAAAAGGAACAATAGATACTGGAGGCAGTAAAATGGTCAGTAACTGTCCTTTCTAAATCTGCAGTGCTTTGTGTTTTGTTCATGTCCTTTCTAAGATCTTCAGCCCCTTTTATTTACATAAAGACTATAATGATCATTTATTTTCATGACTGTTTGTGGGACTTTGCTGTGTACAAATTGGCTGCCTCATTTGATTACAAACACACAATCACCTTCACAGTTAATCCTGTGAAGTGCTTTGAGATATCCTCCCGTTTGCTATTATATATTGTGAAGTGTATACTTTGCAGGCAAACAAAATGTTTGTGCACACACACAGATATATATATATATAGTACATGAAACTCCCAGTTCCCCTTTTTCACTGAAGTACAGTATGAGCGTAATAGCCGTGAAATATTGCAATACACGAACTGAAACTCTCTTTGCTCCTTCCTATTGCTGTTTGCCTCAGTCGGACACCTCTCCCTCTCGCGGCCCCCGCTTCCCAGTCACAGACAGAGGCCAATCCTGGGAGATAAATGTATTCAAATGCAGCCAATGACGGTGTGTGAGCGGCGCCCTGACCCCCAGCGCCTCGTCACTGATGGGGAATCGGCCAATCACCGGCCGCACTGCCGCCCAGGCCCCGCCCCGAGCCGCCGGTCCCGGCCAATGGGAGGCCACGATTGCCCACCCGCTCATCTGACACCCGAAGGACCCCGGTTACGCGGCGCCCAAATTTCTGCCTGTGTGGGGGTGTGGGTGTGTGTTTTTAAATTATTTTTGGAGGGCGAGAAGGAAAAACACAGGAAAATTCAGAAACATAACTACACTGTCCTCTCCCAACACTATATAGCCTTTCCTCCTCTCCCTCCCCAGTTGAAGGATGAGCAGTTGCCTTGATCCAACTCCTGAGTACAGGGCAGGAATGTGTGTAAACATATAAACATGGGCACGTATACAGGAGCTAACGGGGAGCGGTATTTTTTTTAAAAAAAACAGAAGGAAGGGGGGATATTCCCCCTCTCTCTTGTTTTTTACCCCCCCCCAACGTGACTGGATTTCTTCTCAGGACTGTGTGGGAACAGCTGTTGTCGCTGACCTCCCCTCAGTCATGTTGGCCCCTGGTGTGATGGCGAGGAAACCCCGTTAGGCAGCGCTCTTCATGACGGTGAGTTCCTTTCGAGTATTACAAATTTCTCTTAAATGTCTTTCCTTATTTCTCTCTCTCTCCGCGTTCCCCGAACAACAGAGAGGGGAATAATCCCTGAAAAATGGCCAAATCCCGTCCCCGCTCTCCTCCTCCTCCCCCTCCGAGCAGCACCACCCGAAGCACCTTCTCGGTGTACCCCCCCCTCAGGTCAGGTCCGGGCTGCAATGCCCCTCTTTTATACACATAAATACACCCGCGATACATTCCTGAACCTTCTACATCCGATTGTTGATCTAATGTTGCACTCCCCCTCCCCCTCGTCTTCCTCCTCCTCTCCAGCCAAGTGCCACCCCGCAGCCTCCCCTCAGCCTCCCCCACCCCTCAGCCTCCCCCTCCCCTCAGCCTCCCTCAGCCTCCCCCTCCCCTCAGCCTCCCCCTCCCCTCAGCCTCCCCTCCTCAGCCTCCCCCACCCCTCAGCCTCCCCCTCCCCTCAGCCTCCCCTCAGCCTCCCTCAGCCTCCCCCCCCTCAGCCTCCCCTCAGCCTCCCCCCCCCTCAGCCTCCCCTCCCCCTCCCCTCAGCCTCCCCTCAGCCTCCCCCACCCCTCAGCCTCCCCCACCCCTCAGCCTCCCCCCCCCTCAGCCTCCCTCAGCCTCCCCTCCCCTCAGCCTCCCCCTCCCCTCAGCCCCCCCCCCCTCAGCCTCCCCCTCCCCTCAGCCTCCCCCCCCCCTCAGCCTCCCCCTCCCCTCAGCCTCCCCCTCCCCTCAGCCTCCCCCCCCTCAGCCTCCCCACTCCCTCAGCCTCCCCCTCCCCTCAGCCCCCCTCAGCCTCCCCCTCCTCAGCCTCCCTCAGCCTCCCCCTCCCCTCAGCCTCCCCTCCTCCCGTTTATTGAAAGTTTTGAGGGTTAATTTAGGTCGTTATGGCCCAGTTTGCGCTTTAAAGATCCGGATTCCCCGCGTCCCCCTCAGTCCCACCATATTAGTTGCGATGCACTTTCTCACCCCCTCCCCTAAACACACACACCATTTCCCTTCACATCTTACATGTATATATTATAGCGTATATGACTTGTGTTACATATAAAAACCGGATGTACAGACGGGAAATTAACGTTGTTAACAGCCTCTGTGGAATGTTAAACTCCTACATTCATTGCATTGCCACTTTGAGGGATCCTCACATCATCCCCTCAGCTTTCAGCACTGTGGTAACCTGGAGTGTGTTGGAGTGCATCGCCCTCACCTTTATGCCACAATGAAAACAGTTACTGATCTCGATTTGCTTTGAGCAATAAATAAACCTAACGATTTGATCAAAGGGGCTCCACAAACCCAACCACATCTCAGATATCAACCTTGGGTTTTACCAGAAGTTGCTTTCTACCTATTTTTTGTGAACAGTTTTCAGTGTAGGAGGAAAACTTTGATCATCAAATGATCTTCTAATGTTGATAGTGAGAAGTGCCCACCCCTGATCTGTGCGGAATGTTCAGCATTCTAAGCGATCCTCAGCATTTTCAAGTTCTCATGTTAAAATGTTTAACTTGATCTGCTTTCAGGGTGTTAACTAATGCAGAAGAAAGTTTTGCAGATCAATTACATTTCAGTTAGCCGTCTGTTTTTAGTAACTGACCTGTCTGATTATTTCTGGGTTGCAGTGGGTGTGTTTTTTGTGCTAATGTGAGAGTACACTTATGCTCTGTTTCTGGAGGGTGGAGGGCCCTCCAGTACTAACTTACTTAGTATGAAGTTGCATCTCTTTCATTCCCTGTTTTGAAATAAATGCATCCAGGTTTTGTGTGCACTGTGCATGAGTTTTCTTGATTTGATTTTTCATGATTCTATTTGTCTTATTTTTTTCTGTGAAGTGGTCTATTGTTGCTTTCTTATTCCCCCCCCCCCCACTCTGTGGTTGTATTGAATTCAATTCCAAGTATATTTAGAAGGGTATTATATCAGATCAAGGGTTAATTTCAGATGCCCATGTTTTTGCCTTTTATAAGTTGCATGATTGTTTCCCTCAGTTAATTTCAATTATTATTTTACACAAATTTGGAAAAAGTCCATATTTTTAAAATCTTTTCTTTCAAAGCTTTTGGATTAAAAGACAAAAGTATCTGTTTTACTACAAAAAAATCAGAGTTTAAATGACTTTCCTGTTTTTATCCCTAAAAATTAATATTGATATGCTGAGGTGACAAATTAGTGTTTGGCGCCATGATTGATACCAGTTTAGCAACTGAAGTACAGTAACTCGTTTTGGAGTATCGTACACTGCCATACTGTTGGCGTAATTCAATTAGCAACCCCCGCAGTCATTTCTGTAGTTTACAAACAATAGGATTGGAATTAATCATTCAGATCCAATGAACTGTAATCAAAGTTGTGGCTTTTTTTAAGCGTTTATCATTTCTGCATTTTGACTGTTTTTCATACGAGTCTGGTTCTTTGGCACTTTCGCCTCTGGCTCAGAAGCATTGAAGGCCTACATTGGGGACCTGAGGTTCACAATCTAGGCTGACTTCATGGTCAGAAAAGTTAAACCGAGGTCCCATCTGTACCTGTTCAAGTGGATGTTAAAAATCCCACGGCACTATTTGAAAAGAAAAGGGGAGTTTTTCCCCAGGTGTCCTGGTCAATAATCCTCCAGGTAAAACAATGCCTCTTTAACTTCATGGCTGTGGGACGTTACTGCGTGCAAATTAGCTGTTCTGTTCACCTGCAAAAGGCACAGTCACTCCAATTTACAGAAAACTCTGCAACACTATGAACACAACAACAAGATTGCATTTATAGAACGCCTTTCACTTCGGGAGGCGCTGGACAGTTGGGTCGGGACCCGAGCCTTGGGGGAAAATGGTCAGGGTGAGGGGAGGGGAGGGAAGGGAGGGAGCGAGGAGGGGGTAGAGAGTCGAGAGGGGAGGTGAAGGCACGGTTGAAGAGAAATGTTTCGATGTGATAAATGCCAAAGTCCATTTACATTTATATAGTACCTTTCTCGTCGGGAGTACGTCCCAAACCACTTCACGCAGCTGACTGTATCAAAGACGAGGCTTATTAATAAAAATAATATTCCTTGCCTTTGATATCACGTCACTGAGATGACTCAAAACACTTATTATTTATTAGGGTTATAAATGAGAACATTTAGTTGAAAATTGCATCAATAATATTTCACATAATAATAATGCTTACTTTTTTTATAAAGAAATCTCCTGCAAGGGTACTTTATTGGGTGGGACTTCAAAGTTTATTCTCTGAATTTTTATCTATTTTTCAGATTGGTAATCACAGTATTTTACAGCAGGAAAGTCAGTTTGTTGACTAGCTTACACAGGAAGGCAGTGGAGGGAGATTTAGCTATTTGAATAATTGAACCACTTTAAGATGTCCTTCTGATGTGAAAGGCACTATATAATAAAATGTAAATTTTATTGTAATATAGAAATTTAGATGAAGAGTATAAGAGTTTTTAAAAAGTTTTTACTAGCTGTACAACAAGTCCTATGCTTACATAAGTGCCTCCTGCACTTGTGTGTATAAAATAAGTAGATCGGGGTCATTCATTCAAACTACTGACATCTTAAGTCACCTGAAAGACAACTTATTCAGATAGGCATTAAGCAACAAAGAGCAAGCTTGTGAGTGGGTTTGTTGTGGTCTATCTAGCCTGTTGTTTTAATACAAAGCTATTTCAATTCAGTCATAAATGGTTTGGGCCTCAAGAGCTGGCTATAATTGCTTATTTATGGCCTTTGCCATTTGGAGAAATGGCGTAAGGAAGACACTGTGTGTTCCCAGACTCTGCCCACGTCACTTGGATAGTAGCTGATTTGAACTGTGAAAGAAGGAACAATAGTCATTTATAATAATCCTTGCACTTGGATGTTATCAAGGCATCTAATTTTTCAAGTGGAATCCTGTAGCTCAGTGGTTAGAGCACTCGCCTTGCAAGCGAGGCACCTGGGTTCAATTCCAGGCAGGGCGAAACCTTGGGCAAGTTTCCTTACTCCATACCCCTAATAATAATCCCTCCAAAACAAAACAATAATAAATTGGTAATTTTTAATCCATGACTGTTTGTGGGATATTGCTGTGCGCAATTGGCTGCCGCATTTTGCCCACAAATATACAGTCAATTCACTTTACAGCGTATTCTGTGAAGCGTTTTGAGATGTCTAGATGACGTGAAAAGCGCTATATCAAATGCAAGGATTATTATTATATTATTATAAGGTATCTCAGTGCTGCGCGAGTGTAGTGACTCCCTTCACTACTTGGCTGCTTCCTTCACTCAGTGAACACCGGCCTACTTCACATCTCCCGCTCTATCCATCTCACCATCAATAGATGGGCTTTCAGCCGTGCTACTCCAGGTTTCTGGAACTCCATCCTGGAGACTCTCCAACTCGCTTCTTCCCTCTCTGCAATTGTATTTTGTAGGTGAACGCAAGCAGCCAATTTGCACACCAGAAACAGTGATGAAGTGAATGACCAATTTTATCTTTTCAAAAGTGGCATGGGATCTTTAACGTCCAGCTGAACAGGCAGAACTAAACTTGGTTTAATAGTTCATCCAAGGTTGACAAAGCAGTGCCTTTCCCCCCCCCCTCCATCCCCACGAAGTCGTGTTGTGGGGCTTGAACCCACAACCTGTTGACTCAGAGGCATAAGCACGGCTGAAAACCCATCTATTGATGGTGAGATGGTAGAGCGGGAGACGTGAAGTAGGCCGGTGTTCACTGAGTGAAGGAAGCAGCCAAGTAGTAAAGGGAGTCACTACACTCGCGCAGCACTGAGATACCTTATAATAATAATCCTTGCATTTGATATAGCGCTTTTCACGTCATCTAGACATCTCAAAACGCTTCACAGAATACGCTGTAAAGTGAATTGACTGAGCCAGGCTGACATCTGATTTACATAAATTTAAATTTTTAAATATCACCTTTCATGTCAAAAGGATGTCTCTAAGCACTTCACAGGATATACTGTAGAGTGCAGTATTTTGTACATGAACG